GCCTTTTTGCTTTCTTTCTTTGTACAATTTATTTCTAATTTTATACTTTTGTGGTCTGAAAAGTTGGTTGGTAGAATTTCAATCTTTTTGAATTTACTGAGGCTCTTTTTGTGGCCTAGTATGTGGTCTATTTTGGAAAGTGTTCCATGTGCACTTGAGAAGAATGTGTATCCTGTTGCTTTTGGATGTAGAGTTCTATAGATGTCTATTAGGTCCATCTGTTCTAGTGTGTTGTTCAGTGCCTCTGTGTCCTTACTTATTTTCTGTCTGGTGGATCTATCCTTTGGAGTGAGTGGTGTGTTGAAGTCTCCTAAAATGAATGCATTACATTCTATTTCCTCCTTTAATTCTGTTAGTATTTGTTTCACATGTGTTGGTGCTCCTGTATTGGGTACATTTATAATGGTTATATCCTCTTGTTGGACTGAGCCCTTTATCATTATGTAATGTCCTTCTTTATCTCTTGTTACTTTCTTTGTTTTGAAGTCTATTTTGTCTGATACAAGTACTGCAACACCTGCTTTTTTCTCCCTGTTGCTTGCCTGAAACTTTTAGTCTGTGCATGTCTTTGGGTTTGAGGTGAGTCTGTTGTAAGCAGCATATAGATGGGTCTTGGTTTTTTATCCATTCTATTACTCTGTGTCTTTTGATTGGTGCATTCAGTTCATTTACATTTAGGGTGATTATTGAAGGATATGTACTTACTGCCATTGCAGGCTTTAGATTTGTGTTTACCAAAGGTTCAAGGTTACCTCCTTTACTATCTTACTGTCTAACCTAACTCAGTTATTGAGCTATTATAAACACTGTCTGATGATTCTTTATTTCTCTCCATTCTTATTTCTCCTCCTCCATTCTTTATATTTTAGGTGTTTTATTCTGTGCTCTTTTGTGTTTCCTTTGACTGCTTTTATGGGTAGTTGATTTTATTTGTTGCCTTTAGTTAGTCTTTGGTTGGTCTGCTTTTTTTGCTGTGATTGTATTTTCTCTGGTGACATGTGTTTAGCCTTAGGAGTGCTCCCATCTAGAGCAGTCCCTCTAAAATACCCTGTAGAGGTGGTTTGTGGGAGCCAAATTCCCTCAAATTTTGCTTGTCTGGGAATTGTTTAATCCCTCTTTTGTATTTAAATGATAATCATGCTGGATACAGTATCCTTGGTTCAAGGCCCTTCTGTTTCATTGCGTTAAATATATCATGCCATTCTCATCTGGCCTGTAAGGTTTCTGTTGAGAAGTCTGATGATAACCTGATGGGTTTTCCTTTGTAGGTGACCTTTTTTCTCTGGCTGCCTTTAATACTCTGTCCTTGTCTTTGATCTTTGCCATTTTAATTATTATATGTCTTGGTGTTGTCTTCCTTGGGTCCCTTGTGTTCGGAGTCTGTGGGCCTCCAAAGTCTGAGAGACTATTTCCTCCCCCAATTTGGGGAAGTTTTCAGCAATTATTTCTTCAGAGATACTTTCTATCCCTTTTTCTTTCTCTTCTTCTTCTGGTACTCCTATAATGCAAATATTGTTGTTTTGAATTGGTCACACTGTTGTCTTAATATTCTTTCATTCCTGGAGATCCTTTTATCTCTCTCTGCCTCAGCTTCTCTGTATTCCTCTCCTCTGATTTCTATTCCATTAATGGCCTCTTGCACCTCATTCAGTCTGCTCTTAAGTCCTTCCAGAGATTGTTTTATTTCTGTATTCTCCCTCTCTACTTGCTCCTTTAGCTCTTGCATATTTCTCTGCAGGTTCATCAGCATGGTTATGACCTTTATTTTGAATTCTTTTTGGGAAGATTGGTTTAATCTATTTCCCCAGGCCCTGTCTCAGGGATTGTCTGGGTAATTCTGGACTGGACCAAATTCTTCTGCCTTTTCATGGCAATAGAGTTAGCTGTAGGCAGGTAGTGCATGTGTCAGCTGCGAGAACATATTTTCCTGTTTGCTGGTCCTCTTGCCCTTCTCTGCTGCCTGTGTCAGTTATCCACACTCCTGGAGCAGGCTCCAGATTAATCCCCTAAGCTTCCATAGGTGGCGTCACCGTCAGGGTAGCCCAGAGCCCTGTGGGGAGTGGCAGGCGCACTGGGTGCGGTCTTCTGCGAGAGCGACACCCCTTCACGCCTTGCCCCGGTTTCTTCTGCCTGTGCCCGGTGGTTGTGCGCTGGCAGCGGCCTTTGGGTCTGGCCCAGGTGGCTGTGCACTGAGAGGAGATTCTGGGCGGCTGCTGGGGGTGCAGCTCCCAGGTGTCTCCTCCACTGCTGTGGGCTCGCACGGCCGCTCAGCTGCCACCGCTGACTTGCGCGGCTGCTACCAGGCTGCTCTGCCACAGCCGCTGCTGCAGGCTCCTGCAGCCGCTCCTGGGCCACTCCACTGACAGCTCATGCGTGGGCAGCTGCTCTCAGGCAACTGGGCCGCTGTGTCAGGGGCTGTGCCAGCTGGGGGAACGACTGGCAGGCTGCTTATCGCCGTGCAGGGCTTCAGAGTTGTGCTGCTGCCCACGGGATTAGGGCATCTGAAGTTCCCCGGGATTCCCAGCTACTGGGCTGAGTGTGCCGGGACGATTCCATCCAGCTGTGAGGTCCCTGTCCCTTTACGACTTTCAAAAAAGCACTTGCTGTTCTTTTGTCCCAGGGGAGCTGGTTTTGGGTTCCGCTTGCCGATTTTGCTTTTCCATTTCTCTAATATCCAGCGCACCATGCACTGTGTGTCTGTGCTCCTGGTGTGGATTACTAGAGCTGGTTGTTTAGCAGTCCTGGGCTTTTACTCCCTCCCCGCTCCGACTGCTTTCCTCCCACCAGGGAGCTGGGGTGGAGGGAGCGCTTGGGTCCCGCCGGGTTGCAGCTTGTATCTTACCCCCTTCATGAGATGCTGAGTTCTCGCAGATGTGGATGTAGCCTGGCTGTTGTACTATATCCACTGTTTGCTCTTTTAGAAATAGTTGTATTTGTTGTATAAAAATATATATGGTTTTGGGAGGAGGTTTCTGCTGCCCTACTCACACTGCCATCTCAGCTCCTCCTCCCAAGTTAAGAATTTTTAACTGATGAAGATTGTTTTCATAAATTGGGAACTTTTTTCTTATATCCTTTATTTTATACTGGTCAATAAAATATATTTTGTCTTCTTTAATAGAGCAGTTTAGAGAATTTCTAATATGTTTTCCAATATTGAACTATCTGCATTCCTGGGATAAACCGTATCTAGTCACTTAACTTTTTAAAACTTTTTAAAAACTAAAATAGGCTTGAAAGACTATAGCCTTTGTGGCAACTATTCAGTCCTGCTCTCGTAGCTGAAGTAAATGAATGGCTATAACTATGTTCCAGTAAAATTTTATTTATAAAATCAGAAATCTTGCCCATGGGTTGTAGTTTGATGACTCCTGCTCTATATGGTATTAACTCTCTCTTTGTGATTGACATGTAGCTACGTCTTTTTAATTTCAGTTTAGGTTAATTAAGCATGATTTTGGCTTTATGGTTGATAAGTTATATTTTATCATGTGAAAATATATCTCCTCCTATTTTATTATGTTTATATGAGTCTGGCATGTTAACCATATAGCCCTGCTAACATTTTACTTACATGTTTACTTAGTAGTGTCTAACAGTTGGTAAGAATCTCTGAGGAAAGTATAATATTTTATTCTTTTTTGTATCACTAGTACAATATCTGATATATCCTCACTAAATATTTTGAGTGAATGAAGAACATATAAACAATATTTCAAAATAATTTTATTGATATATAATTCACATACTACAAATTGACTATTTAAAGTATGTACAATTCAGTAGTTTTTAGTATATTCATAGAATTGTGAAACCATCACCATTGTCTAATTTAGAGTATTTTCATTATCCTCAAAAGAAACCCCGTAACTATTAGCAGTCACTCCCCATTCCTCCCTTTTCCCAGCCTAATTTGTTTTCTGTTTCTATGGATTTGCCTACTCTGAACATTGCATACACATCAAACTATATACAATGTATGATCTATTATAACTGGGCTCTTTCATCCAAGACAATATTTTCGAGGTTCATCCATGTTGTAGATTTCTTTATATTGCATTATATGGGTATACCTCATTGTGTTTATCCATCCATCAGTTGATGAATATCCCCATTGTTGCCATTTTTAGCTATTATGAATAATTCTTCTATGAAGTTTGTGTGATCATTTTTGTGTGGACATGTTTTCAGTTCTCTTGGGTATATACCTAGGAGGAATTGATGGGGTATAGGGTAATTCTGTTTAATATTTTGGGAACCTACTGAACTGTTCCTCATAGTTTACACCATTTTACAATCCACCAACAATGTATAAGAGTTCCAGTTTCTCCACATCCTTGTCAACACTTGTCATTGTCTGTCTTTGATTTTAGCAATGCTAGTGGGTATGATGAGGTGGTATCTCATTGTGGTTTGGATTTGCATTTTATTAATAACGAATGATAATGAACATCTTTTCATGTGCTTATGTACCATGTAAGTCTTTGGAGAAATGTTTCTTCAAATCCTTTGTCCATTTTTAAATTGCGTTGTGTTTTTATTGTTTTGTTGTAATAGTTTTTTATATTCTAGATACAAATCTCTTATCAGATACATGATTTGAAAACATTTCCTCCCATTCTGTAGACTGTCTTTTTACTCTCTTGATGTTTTGTGAAGCACAGAATTTTTAAATTTTGATGAATTACAACATACCTAGTTTTTCTTTTGACACTTAAACTTTTTCTGTCATAGATCTAAGAAACCATTGCCTAATCCAAGGTCACATAGATTTACTACTATATTTCCTTCTAAAAATGTTATCATTTTAACTTATATTTAGATTTCTCATTCATTTTCAGTTCATTTTTGTATAAGATGTGAGGTGTTAGGGAGGGAGTGAAGGTGAGTCCAACTTACTCTTTTGCATGTGGATATCCAGTTGTCTGAACATCATTTGTTAAAAAAAACTATTCTTTCCCCCATTGAATTGTCCTGGTGCTAGTTGAATATTTTATTAAAAGATTTTTGTTTCTGTCACAAAGAATATTTTTGAATTAAATGTAGAGTTGTTAGTATAAATAATGTTCTGAATACTCAACAATGAATATGATATGACCATAAGAGACTGCCATGATTCTCTTGCAACTCCCCAAATTATGCACATTTCAGTTAAAGATTTGTGTGCTCCTGCAGGGATCAGTGACATTCCAGGATGTGGCTGTGGACTTCACCCCAGAGGAGTGGCAGCTGCTTGACTGTGATCAGAGAACCTTGTACTGGGATGTGATGTTGGACAACGTTAGAAACCTCATCTCAGTGGGTAAGGACTGGGAGTGGTAACTCTTCAGGCAGCTGAGCATGTGCTGGTAGTGAGTGCCCTTCCTTTGAGACTTGTGAAAGCTGTGAACATTCTGAAAGCATTAATAAGTTTGGCCCTGAATATTGGTGGTCAAAGATCCCTAATCCCCTTTGGAAATCAGATAGTGTGTTTATGGTTCTACCTCCCAGATGGAGGAGAAGGGTCATCCTTCTGTTTCTAAAGCCAATTTGTCATCCCTTCCAGGCCCTGAGACTCAAGGAGACAGACCTGAATTGTGAGGTAGATGTATGTCCCTAGTTCTGTGTTGTTTCCCATGAACAGGGGACCCAGCTACTGAAGCAAAAGTGGTCTTCAAGGTGGAGCAAGGACAAGAACCATGGATGGTGGAGGGAGTGAACCCACGTTGGTGCCATCCAGGTGAGTGAGAGAAAACCAGGTCAGCGGGAGTCTTTGGAACTGAGATTCCCATTGACCATTGAGGGACAGGCACCTTTGAAATACTTTTCAGGAAGCACCTCTTAAGAGCCACACACACACCTTTGGAAGTGCCTGGGTCCACTCGATATAACATCATCAGCTCCCCAAGTGATGCCTTCACTCTGCCCAGTAGCTGCTCTTTCTCTTTGCTCAGCTCTTGTGTGAAGGGATGTCTCTCTCCTCTCTACTCTCGTGCCTTGTGCTGCCTGTTTCAGCTGGGACCTCGCTGTGTTCTCTTAATTCCTGAAATCCTCATTCTTCTTCCCTCCTCACCAAGATCACAGATGTTTTCATACATCTAGTTTTTATGATGTAGTCAAATTGTGTGAAGTCTTCACCAATCACTGTCTAACTTAATTATTTTGTGGTACAACTTCATTTATAAAATAGGGATAATAATTCCCAAATATGTTGGGAGGAGTTAGGTTCGGTATCTCAGGGAAGCTGGACATAGGAAACCAAAATCAAGCAAGCAAGCAATCAAGCAGATTTATTATGCTTTTGGAGCAGGCCCTTAACTAATGTCTAACAGGCCTCCGAGTGTTCATGGAGGGCTTCTTTTTATATGTGATTTGCGAGAGATTTTAGGTGGGGTGATCCATGGTAACAAGCACTGACTGACAGCTCAGTAGTTATGTCTTCTTGTGCTTGGAGACACCTGTGGTTGTCCACCCCCTCCCCCTGCTAATGTCCTACGAGTTGGAGATGCCTGTAGTCGTTAGGTTTCATGTAAAGATTATATATACATGCAAAACCCTTCAAATAACTAATAGAAAGTCAGTGTTCAGTATGTTAATTGTTTTTATTGAAACTTTTAGTAACATTATATTCTTTCTAACCATTTTCCTTTTAAAAAAGCTCACTCCGTTTCTTGCAACATATACCCTGTCAGTGTGTCCCATCCACTTTGCTCATCTTTAGTTTCACTGCTGACTTGGGATATCTACCTTCCAGTGCATATTCTGCTTTACTTGGTGATATTGACATCTTTTGGAAACTTCTTCAACTTTGTGTTGGTTCCTTGCTAATCACCCTCAACATTTTTTACTGCTTATTCTCCTTTTGCTTCTTGCCTTCTCTTCCATCTTCTGAACATCTCCTCACAGTAATTCCCTCAGAAACTTTTAAAGGCTAGTTATTTATTTTGTGCCATCTCTAGCATCTTTGACTCACAAGCTTTCTGTTCATGTAATTTTACTCTATCTGGCCTTATCCTGTTTTTTCATAGTAACAAATGTCAGTATTCAACTTTCACCTTAATCTTCACATCACAATAAAGACTAATGTCTTGACCTGCCACTTTGCAGTCTCAGAGTCACTGTGGTAAGCAATTTATTTGTTTGTTTTTTTCTCAAGAGTTTCTCCTTAAGTATATTGTGACTGATTACCTATGATTTCAACTATTAGTTTATCTAAGACTGATTGAGGATAAAATTTTCCCTTTTCATAGAGCCCATAAAAGAAGTTTCAAATAATTAAGACACCAACTAAGTGTATTTTAAATCATCAGTAACCCCACCTTCTAATGATATAAACCAAATGAATTTTAACCCCTGATATGGTGTCTAGGCTGTTTATGTTCCTATATTGCCAATTCCATTCTATTTTCTGGTTTATCTTAGATGTTATTACAATATTAATCCAAATTTTTCACTTTTCCTGTCACTCTCATGACAAATAAATGCAAGTTATTCCTTTATAACCTATATTATGATTAAATGAGTTTTAAGGCCCTCTTTAATGTGATCTCATTTTGTTTATGCAGAGTGGTCTTTTTCCCTATTCCATGGCAATTGGCATTTTTAGCATCCTTTACACAAAATTTTCCTCTCTGTATCAATCATTCCTTTTGATTCTGGTGTGCTATACCTAACTAAAACCAGCTTCCTATTAAGTCTAAATTCAGTTTTCTGTTCTTTCATGACTCCAGCCTAGATTAATCTCTATTTTCTTTGAACTCTTATCCCAAACTCTGTTATGGCTTTATCATAAAAACTTGACATACATGGTTATCCTTGAACAACACGGGGATTATGGTGCCAACCCTCCTGCACAGTTGAAAGTCTGTATATAACTTTTGACTCCCCCAGAATTTAACTATTAATAGCCTACTGTTCACTGGAACCCTCACTGATAATATAAATGTCAATTAACATATATTTTCTGTTACATGTATTGAGTACTATATTCTTACAATAAAATAAGCTAGAGAAAAGAAAATGTTTTTTAAATTGTTACAGATATCCAAAAAATTTTCCAACTTTTATTGAAAAAAATGTGCATATAAGTGTAGACCTGTGTTGTTCAAAAGTCAACTGTTCTGAGATTTTTTTCTTTAAGCCTTGTGACTTTTGAGGCATGTTTTCTCATAATGCCCTGAAGAGAGTCCTGTATCATTTATTCGTTTGCTGAGTATATAATAAGCATTTAATGAACATTTTATTAATTCACTGTTGTAAAGTCAGGCACTGTGGGGATGTCTTTTACTCTTTCATTCAATAAGACTTTTTAATGTTTTCTGAGAGCAATTCAAAGAAAGCAAAAAAAAATCCATTACCATTTTCCAGGTGTATAAATTGTACTCAGAAAGGCAAAGCATAGCCTTATAAAATATTTTAAAATTTGATGAGTGTGGAAGATTTGTTCAATGCCCAATAACATTGAAGTTTTGTTTAGTTAATTGTCAAAATTAATTGTTTAAGCAGCAACAGTACCTTAGAAGTTCGAGAAAATGAAGCTTAATGTTTGAAGTATACAAAGATTGGAGAAGTCATATTTTGAGCTCATGGAACAATGGCTCTATCCTAAAGAATATCCAAGTATTAGAGGATGAGGGGGTGAGGAAGGGTAAGTTATGGTGGGGAAGGAACATGAGCAAAAGACTGTAGTTACGTACAGTCTAGAATCCTTGCAACAGAAGGTGTTTGTAGAGAAATGCATGTTTAGATACCATGAGTGAATTCATTGTATTGTGTAGTTGTTTTCACTAGGCTGACTGCCCTGGATTTTCCAGTTGGTTTTTGTTGGTTGAGGTAACACAGGGTACTACTTCCCATTGGTTGAAGTAGAGAGGAAAGAAGAAACCAAACCCCCATACTAAGAACCAGTCTGTAAAGAAATTAGTACTAATGGCTTGAGTCTACTACTCAGTCAGCTCCACAGAGAAGGATAAGTCATGGGGCAAGAGGCTAAGGCTATTGTACTGACATTCCATATGGAAGGAAACTAGGAGTGGGGAATATAACCCTATCTCCTTAAGTTTTAAAAAAATGGGGCAGTGGATTTGGGATTTATAGGATTTTGAGGATGGGAATGAAAAATTGTGACTTCAGAAACAAAACAGCTTTCTGAGGACTACTTTGTTAGGTAAGGTTTATAGAGGATGCAAAAACAGTACTTGTCAAATACAGTTTTGACAAATGTCATATATAGAAACCCAACCATAATAAAAATGATAGCTCCAAGGCTAAGGATGACATACCTTTGAATGACCTGCTGGACATTTGTGTTCCTGGGCTTTTGTACAAGTACATGTAAGGATGAATCCCAGCTGTAGAGAGTTGGAACCCTGTCTACAGATGTGTCTCAGTGGTGTTTGGTTGGGATTAGTGGACTGGAGTCACAAGAATGTTCCTTAAGGGAACTGACATTGCACCAGGTGATTAAGAAGAAAAAAAGATGTGAATGAAGAAAATATAGAACTATCCTACTAGGGTAATCTAGGAATTAGGTAGTGAGGACTCTGATTCTGATCACCTCCAAACCTAGTTTCTCATCTGACATTTTCCCTTAAATTCCTTGTCTCTTGTTCCCCACATTACCCTATCCATTAATCAGATCTCCACAATGGACTCTTTTCTTTCTATGAGCTAACTGTGCACCTCTGTTGAATCTTTTCGACTTTGTTTGTACTCTATTCACTATATCTTTTGTCTAATTTACTGTCTTTCCACAGGTCATAAGTTAAGCCATCTGTTCTCATTGTCATTCACCTGCTCCCATTTCCTCTTTGTCAGTTTTCTTCTCAAAGCTCAGGAGCAAGGCAAGTAAAAGATCTGTTTCAGAATGAGAGACTAGATTTGAAATCATCTAAGTTTCTACAACTGTTGGAAAAAATTAACTAGGAATGTTTTATTATACTCCTTTTTAGGAGCTGACTGCCCATTTGTTGATGAATCAGAGAAGCACCAAGAAAGGAAAGACAATTTTTTAAATTCAGTTTTGTTTATGTTCAATAAAATTCAGACTATGGAGAGACTTCAAGGCTATGATACGAGCACAAGTCTTCGTCCTACAAGAAAAAAATCACATAAAGGGAAATCATATGGGAAGAGTTTGCAATCTATTTTAGACTTACTTAATTATAATAGATGTTATACTGGAGAAAACACTTATGAATGCAATGATTGTGGGAAAGCCTTCAAACAGAAGTTTCATTTCATTAGACATGAAAAAAATCATACAAGAAAAAAACCCTTTGAGTGCAATGATTCTGAGAAAGCCTATAGCAGGAAGGCATACCTTGCAACTCTTCAGAAAATTCATAATGGAGAGAGACCATTTGTGTGCAGTGATTGTGGGAAAGCGTTTAAGCGTAAAGAACAACTGGTGGTCCACCAGAGACTTCACACTGGAGAGAAACCTTACGAATGCAGTCAGTGTGGGAAATCATTCACTTGGAATTCCTCCTTTACTCAACATGTGAAATCTCATACACTTGAGAACTCATTTGAATGTAAGGAATGTGGGAAAACCTTCAGGTATAGTTCATCCCTTTATAAACATTGTAGATTTCATACAGGAGAGAAACCCTATCGATGTATTGTTTGTGACAAAGCCTTTAGCAACACATCTGTGCTTGTTACACATCAAAGAATTCATACAGGAGAGAAACCATATGTATGTATTGCATGTGGCAAAGCCTTCATCAAGAAGTCTCATCTTTTAAGACATCAGATAACTCATACAGGAGAAAAGCCCTACGAATGTAACAAATGTGGAAAAGCTTTTTCTCAGAAGTCACATCTTACTGTACATCAGAAAATTCATATATAATATTCACTTTATGAAAAGCCTCAAATATTAGCTAAATCCTATCAAGTAGAGAATTCATAGAAATCCACCAAGTTAAATGAATTTGGAAGAGTAGATTCTCAAAAAAATAATGCCAATCATGTTCTGGAAGTAATAATAAAGTTTTTATAGAAAAGATCACAGAAAACATTGATTTATAAATAATAGAGCCTGGAGCTTGGAACATAAGCATAAATTAAAGAATCAGTAAAAAGTACCATCTGATTTATTTTTATAACATTGTACAATTATGCAAATATGAGTATAAAATGTTTATATTAAATTATATCCATTAAGGGGTTTCTGTAGTAAATATTTTTTCTTCCAGTTCTAACAACATGCAAGTGAAAAAGTGATTTAATACGTAGTGTGAATTTCAGTAATATTTTTATTCATTTGCTGGCACTTTTATTGGGTATATCAGTGTGACTGACTCTCAGTCTCCTCTTTAATTATAAAACTGTCATAAAGATGTTTTCCTATGTTTCTAAATATCAAAACAAGAAATAAAGAAAAATACCAAGAGGGGGAAAAGCAGTTGTATTCTATATTACCTTAAGTATTCAGTTGAAGAAAAGTAAATAAGTATGTAAGAATAAAAGATTTGCACTTCAAATATTCTTGTTCTTTTTCTTTGCTATATCTACATAAGATGTAAGCATAGCTCAAGTAATAATTTAACTGGGTTATTTGTATTTGATTTTAATAAATTAGGGTGTCATGATACTTTGCAACATTCAGGGAGTGAGCTTTTGGGTCTTTGTTTTCTTGTAGGAAATTGATTCAGGGTTAACTCCTAGGGGTGCCTGGATTTTTTTTTTTTTTTTTATGTAACAGCATAAGCAGCATTAATCAAGTTGAAAAGAGCAAGTGTCTTAGCAACTTCACTTTGGAATATGACATTTTGTAATTTCCACATACTCAAAAGGATAAACCAACCATTATTTAAGCTGCTTTTAATTGCTATCCACAATATTCCTTGATAATGTTAAAAAAAACTTTATACTTTTTCTTGAGTGAGGACAAAGTTTGGACCTAAATTAAGTTTAAGCTCAGTTACAACTATTGCGTAGCTTTTCTTTCAATAGCCATGTTTTGAAGAATGATGTTGAGTGATTTTCATAAATGAATTATACTGCTTTTTTGAACAAGCACACTAGAACTTAATCTAAATCTTGTCTACCAACAAAGACTCTTCACTTGACCAAACTAGTCAGGCTCTTGAGCCTTCTAGGCCTTCTGTTCTATGCACTTGTAAAGTCTAGTTTTAGCAAGAACTGCCAGAGTCCAGCTCCAGCGAGTCCAGGAGTCCCTGAAGGACGGATGGTGTCGGTGACTAACCAAATGAATGAGGACACAGGCACTAGCAAAAGCTGAGCCTGGCCTTTAATGAAAAGTGGCAGTTTGTTTATATACTCTTTGATTACATAAAGTAAAGTACAGGCATTGATCATTTATTTGATACATAGCATGGTTACATGAGTTTGGAAAATGAGATTAAATCACGTGGCTTTGTTCCTAGTTATTGCAGTAAAAAAATCTTGCAAAGTTTAGGTAGGTGCCAGGCTCTTGGTTTCTTTACAGATGACTAAAGTTCACTATTGTTTTTATGTAGGGCCCTCATTCTTTCATAGCTATACTCCCATTCTTCATCTCCATTAGGAAAGACCGAGGCTTTCTCCAAAGGGACACGATGACCTTTTGGCAGGCAGGGTCAAATTTTATGGACTGTGCCTTGGACCAATTTTCAGTAAGGCTTACAATGGAGATTTTTCTGATCTGGAGTTAGGTAATGGCCTGTTCCCATTTGTTTTATAGTTTGCCAGGCTGTTCTTTGGCGGGCTAGCCAAAGAGTATCATTTGTTCTCTGTACCCACCTGTCACCATTAATCATCGAATATGCTGTTTGAAGGCCATGTAGGGGCAGGGGAAGGGACCTCGACCCAGGTAAATTTTCCATATCTTTTTCCCCATAAACGTGGGTCCAATATTCATGGGGTCTCACTTTCCCATCATCGGAGGGTAGTCACAAGGACAGTAGTGTTTTTTTCCAACTTCCTTTGGGGCTAGTACCAGAAATTTTCAAGGAGAGTTGGATATGGCCTCTTCCCTGAAGGGGAAGCTTGAATTGAAACCTAAATAATCAAATTTATTAGGAGGGACATTTTGAGCAGGAGGGATATCGGGGTTACTCCTCTGGGAAGGCCGCTGTGCCGTCCCTTCCATCCAACTGCCTGGACTGTGTCATCAGGCTGGCTGTTCAGACCGGCTCCCGACAAAGAACCCCACTAAGTCAGTTTAACCAGAACTCCCAACCCTAGATACCTGATGAGGTCCTTTACCCTCTACCATTCTTAAGGTGATGTTTGACCACACTGGCCTATCTTCAAGAATCCTGTTGGGTCCATTTAACTAGAACTCTTTACCACTGACAGTTCCTCTTAGTAATTTTCCATCACTGACACCCCCACCCCCCCACCCAACTCCCTGGCTATTAATTCCCATTGTGCACGCTGTATTTGAAGTTGAGCCCAATCTTTCTCCCCCACAAATTCCACTGCAGTGGTCCTATACCTATTGCAATGGTCCTGAATAAAATCTGCCTTGACATCTTTAACAAGTGTCATGGAATATCTTCTTTCCTTTTTATTTTTTACTTCAGGTAATGGAAAATTTTTAACACACACAAAAGTAGAATTGTATAATGAGTTACCATCAGTGTACCTGTCTCCTACTTTAACAGTCAGCAATTCAAGACCAATCTTATTTCTTCTATCCTCCTCCCCAGTCCTAAAGTATTTTTTGAGTGATTCCCAGACACCAGATCATTTCACTCATGCTAATTCACCACCTATCTATAAAAAAGAATTCTTTGTAAAATAAATACATAACTACAATAGCATTTTTTCTAACACATTAAAATAATCTATAAATATTGGATTGGTATTTGAATTCCTCTTCTAATTTATTTTTAAACAAACATCTCTAAGGTTCAACAGTCAAAACTATATTTATTACATCCCATTATCCCCCATCCTATAGATAGTAATTTTCATTCATTTCTGGTTTATTTTAGGTTCTTTTTGCCAAAACAGACACACACGTATGTATACATATGTTATTTTTTATTTTTGTCATACAAAAGGTAATATACTTCCCTGTATGGCCCCGGAAGATGACTGGTTAGCCAGAGACGGGTAAGATTCCTCAAGGGAGGAACAACCTAAGACAGGCACAGTCGCAGGGGGGCCATCAGGTGAGAAATTGGGGATCAACAGGTGAGGCTTAGAATCTTCCCCCCCCCCTCCCCCCCCGTTCTGAGAGAAATCTGCTGCATCCGTGGATGTTTTATTGCCCTTGTCTAGCTTGGATTAACACATAGTCTACAGGCACACAACTGATCATCTACATTTGCTCTCTTACAACACTAAACTATGTTTTCTACCTTTATCTTGCATCTACCTACCACTTCAGCATTTTATTAAAAATAA